GCAACGGAACCGCTAGATATCTCTGGCATCAAAGTGTTGTTTCCCTTCAAACCATATGACATTCAATTGGATTACATGAAGAGTATTATCCAATGTCTACAACAGGTATGCCATCAACACATTGACCGCCGATTACTGTCAACAGACACTTACCACTCGTTTAATGACATTACTATATGAGGCAATCGTGTAGAGGACCGGGAGGTTAGGGATTAGTTGTGGGATTAAACTCAAGGCCATTGATAATGTTATATTTGTGATGCAATTCATGGTTAGCTGTGATAGTAAGGGTGGGAAATGGATCTAAATCTAGTGAATGATAATGGTTTGCCATAAATGACTAATTGATGACCACTTGAATACTCGAGAAATCCAATGGACTGTTGGAGTCACCGACGGGAACCGGCAAAACGCTATGCATTCTGTGCGCTACACTCGGATGGCTCGACCACAAGAGGTTGGACTCATTGAGACAATTGGTGGACACGAATGGCAAACAGCTGTTGTCTTCGGCCACGAAGACGCTGAACGGGTGGCAACTGAAGGACCAAATGCCGCAAATCCTGTACAGCTCGCGAACCCACTCGCAGTTGTCTCAGGCGTGCAAAGAGCTCAAGAGGACGTCCTATAAGTCGTTTAAGTCGGTGGTGATCGGGTCGCGGGAACAGCTGTGCATTAACCCGGATGTGACCAAATTGGACACCATGTCGGCCAAGAACCAGACGTGTCGATACAAAACGGCACGAAATATGTGTCAATACTATCGCAACTACGAGCAGAAAGTGGAGCGAAGTCTTGAGTACAGCGCGGGTCAGGTGTTCGACATCGAAGACTTGGTCCGATTCGGCAAATCCAACACTTGTTGTCCATATTATGCCGCGCATTACATCCAGAAGTCGGCGTCACTGGTGTTCATGCCATACAACTACGTGTTGGACCCGAATATACGGCACCGAAACAAACTGGATGTCAAGCACTCGGTGGTGATCTTCGACGAGGGCCACAACATCGAGAGGATGTGCGAAGAGAGTGTGTCCACCGAACTCAGGAGTCACTCGTTCGCCGTTGTCATCAAATACATGGATCAGTTGCTGGAGAAGCTGCGGGACTTGAATGAGAATAAGTACGAGGGTTCCGATGACAAGGAGCTCAGCGAACTCGACGTCGTCGCTGTGGTTAAGCTCAAGAACTTCGTTTGCGACCTCGAGATGGCTATGGATTCGATGGTTAAGAGTGAGAAGAGTCTGAAGATTACGCACCAAACGCCAGTGATATTCAGTATATTGGAAAAGGCGGGACTGGAGGTGCAGACCATTCAGGCACTCATGAAGACTATGGACGAACTCGTGATGTTGATCACCAGTAGTGGCGAATCGGGTTCACCGCAAGGGATGGCAATGTCTGCAGCTTTTAATAGTTTGAAAGAATTTGTCGAAAAACTGATTCCGATTGGCGTAACGACTGCCGAAGCATATCAATCACACAAAGAAGACTTTATTAAGAAGTATAAGATTTTCAGTGAAAAAGGTGTCGAAGCAGAGGACGATAAGACCAACTTCTGGAACAAACAGAGTTCTCCCGATTCATGGATTCTTCACGTCTGGTAACCAATTAGTTGTTTATTTTCTGTCTTATATCTAAAGCGGTTATACTTATGACATGTTTATTAGGTGTATGAGTCCGAGTGTCGGTGCAAAAGCGCTGTTAGATTTAGGTATTCATAATATGGTAATAACGAGTGGAACTCTGGCGCCAATTAACTCATTTGAAGCCGAAATGGATATCAAATTTAATGTCAAACTACAGAATAATCACATAATAGGAGACAATCAGTTGTCGATTATAAACATTTGTCAGTCGAGAGACAAAGTGGTGTTGACCTCGAAGTATGACAACAGAGATAATATGGAATATTATAGGGCTTTAGGGCAGACACTCATTGAGATCTTAAGAGCGGTTCCCAAAGGAGTTCTTGTATTCTTCTCGTCCTATACGGCACTCAATAAATGCACAC